TTTTTTTCCTTTAGACCACATATGTCAAAGTCAAGACCAAGACTTCGCAGGCTATCGTTGCATTGTGGGGAATGCCGTGTTGGTGCAGTTGTGTTGCACGCACCAACACTACATTCCCAGAGTAAACACGTGTTGTTTTTTTTACGTCTTTTTTTTATTTTGTGCTTTGCATGTTTGCATTGTTTTTTTTTTTTTTTTCGCTTTTCCTTTTTTAACAATCCAAGCTGGGCTGAAGTCGTTGTCTCACTAACTGCGCTCTGCAACTGCTGCACACAGGTGTCAGCAGAGGCTGATTGAGGCCAAAATAAAAGGAGCCTGGATGGAGGGAGGGGCTGATCCTGCAGGTAAGAGACGGACACGCTGCCGAGCGAGCGGCAGGTGGCATCCACACGATACTCTGATCGAGGCGGAGCGCTACTCACAGGCGCAGACCTCTGCCCTGACTGTGCCGTCTGTTCACCTCCCGGTATTCTGTGCCTGGCGTGCAGATCCCACCTGACCCTCACTCAGCAGCGTGTCCGTCTCTTACCTGCAGGAGCAGCTCCACCCCTCCCTCCATCCAGGCTCCTTTTATTTTGGCTTCAATCAGTCTCTGCTGACACCTGTAGTCTGTAGTCTTTTTGATTCTTCAGTCATTTTTGGCATTGCTCTGCTTTTTGTTTAATAAATTCCTTTTTTAAAGAACCTCTGGCTGAATTCTGGGTCCGCTGCCGTGATTCATCACAAAATTTTTACATTTCTTTGTACAAGACATTATTTTTCTTTGTAGGCAGTATTTTTTTGTCTGTGTGCCATAGATTTTTGTATTTTATTTTATTGTTACTTTTCAGCTGAATGGACTCAGGAAAAAATGCAAATAAGAAACATAAGAGAGAATACAACTGATAAAATTGTTTCCTATTTTACTATTTGAAAGCAGTGATCGGTAGCACGGTAGAGCAGCACGGTAATGCATTTTCGGTTTATAATACATGCACTTTCATTTATTTATATATCTTAATAAGTTTAGCAATATAATAAAAGTTTATTAATAATAATGCTATTAATATTCTATTTATAAAAAAGCAATGTGTTAGGTGTTGGTTCAATAGGCTATGTTCACTTCAATATGTTTTAATAAACATTTAACCAGTACGGCCCTCGGTTTGTAGCAAAAAAGTTTCTTTGGCTCTCTGTGTATTTGACTTTGACATTCCTGCTTTAGACTGATGGACTGAAGCTTATAAACCTTCCCAGGTTGATGAGCAGCTGTTTGTCTGTTTAGTTTAAACACAGGGCCATCTTTTATTGACCCTGATGATGTTTATGAAATGGAAGCATTCAAGCAGCTGCCTTTTTCTGCTGCTCAGAGGCTCTTTTTACCGTTTCTACATTTGCAGACTTTAAAATGCAAAACATCTCTTTCCTTTCAGTGCCTTTCCGTGAGGCTCCAGCCTACTCCAAACGCCGGCGGGGTCCGTCCTCTGGCGGCGGAAACGGCCAGTCGCCGTCCTCTCTATCAGCGCCACGGGTCCTCCTGCGCTCCAACAGCGACAACAACCTTTCTGTGAGCCAGTACCAGCAGCACGGTTCTCCTGGAAATTGGGCCCCCCATCTGCAGCAGCACCAACAGACCCACCAACACAGGGCCCCCCAGCAGGGTCACTCGCAGCCTGGCTCCTCAGCTTTACACCGCAGCCTGTCCCCTCAGCTGGTCCAGCAGATGCCCAGCGGCAGCCCCAATGGCAACGTGGTGGTCCGAACTATGGGGAGGGGGGCAAGGAGCCGCTCCCCCTCCCTCAGCCGGCTGGGGGAGGAGAACAGACGTGCTCAGACTTCACAGCGACAGCCCAGGTGAGAGCTGAATGTTATCTAATCCCTAACTGCCTTCAAAATGTCTGGAGGTTGGAAAACCCAAAGCAGGTTATTGTTGATGAAGGTGAAGAACGAGTTATTAGTTCAGAGGATCGTTACTTTTTTACGGGTTTGGTTCTTTCTCTTAAACATCAAACCATCATTTTAAATCAATATTTCACTTTTTCTCAGGTTATCCGTTTCCTAATGATCTAAAATATTTGGTGCCGGATGGTCAGAAGCTTTGCAGGTGTGAACGTGTTTAGACGCTCAGAGCAGATCTTCAAAGAAGGTGTGAAGTGATTTTGTTTGCAGTTCAGCCAACAGTGTCTGTAAAGCTTTTTTCTTTTTTTTGCCCGCGTTCCTTCATCAATATGCAGATCATGTTCCAATGAGCAAACTGCAAACATTTGGAGAGGCTATGCAAGTGTACATTCATCATGTGAAAAGTGATTTTCAAGATGAGAAACTCAACTTTTTGTGTCTCTTTTTAAACTTCTGCAAGTCAGGTACAAACTGATGAACAGAAATATCCCTCGTCCTTTTTGCCACGTCAACATGAACCTCGACGATGGAGATGTAATCTGGTAGAATAATATTAATAAAGAAAGAATGGTAGGCAGCAGAGTGGCAGACACTCTTTATACAATTAAACCAAAATGAAACTAAAGTTAAATACTGTACTGTTTATAAAGAAATATGGAATATCAGCAGAGCCTCCAGTTTTACAGAGAATAGTGAATACATATCGTTTATCATTATTACTTCCAGCTACATGGCTTAGAACCTCGTCTTTCTTTTTCAACCACTTTCCCATGCCAGTGGAATGATCTGCTCTTTTTAATGACAGGGAATGAAATCGGTTTGCATGTTTTAACATTTGCTCAGAAATCTTTGTAGATCAACAAACCAACTTATTCCACATACTATAGAAACATTGCATTGCATTTCAGCCTCTCTTATTGGAATTATTGAAGATCAGGCCCTTTGTGTTCTTCACGTTGACCATATCGCCACCTGCTGGCTTGGCATTAGTGTTGCACTGTTCTTTATTATACGAATGTTTAATGTGAAAGTTCTTTCTGCAGTTTGGAGATATTTAAGCTCCGTTAGTTAGATTTAGTTGGACTTCTATACAAGAAAAACGGGACAAGAAAGGAGGAAAACTGATTTGTGTGTCTGTGTCTGGTGAAACCGTAAAACCTTCCGGAGAATGTTTCACTAGAACACGGAGAACTTTTTAGGTGAATGTCAGGGCCTATGGAACAGAACTGCTCCCTCATTCTGGACCATTTGGTTCCAGGTTTCCCAGCAGACTGGTTTTGGCTCAGGTTCTGGTGTTGGGTCAGGTTCTGGTGTTGGGTCAGGTTCTGGTGTTGGGTCAAGTTCTGGTGTTGGGTCAGGTTCTGTTGGTGAGTCAGATTCTGTCGGTGGATAAGGTTCTGGTATTGGATTAGGTTCTGGTATTGGATTAGGTTCTGGTATTGGATTAGGTTCTGGTGTTGGGTCTGGTTCTAGTGTTGGGTCAAGTTCTGTTGGTGAGTCAGATTCTGTCGGGGGATAAGGTTCTGGTATTGGATTAGGTTCTGGTGTTGGGTCAGGTTCTGTCAGTGGATAAGGTTCTGGTGTTGGGTCTGATTCTGTTGGTGAGTCAGATTCAGTCAGTGGATCAGAGCCTGATGTTGGATCAGGTCCTGGTATTGTATTAGGTTCTGGTGTTGGGTCAGGTTCTGATGTTTGGTCAGGTTCCGGTGTTGGGTCAGGTTCTGGTGTTGGGTCAGGTTCTGGAAGTGGGTCAGGTTCTGGTGTTGGGTCAGATTCTGGTGTTGGGTCAGGTTCTGTCGGTGGATAAGGTTCTGGTATTGGGTCAGATTCTGGTGTTGTGTCAAGTTCTGGAAGTGGGTCAGGTTCTGGTGTTGGGCCAGATTCTGGTGTTGGGTCAGGTTCTGAAAGTGGGTCAGGTTCTGGTGTTGGGTCAGATTCTGGTGTTGGGTCAAGTTCTGTCGGTGGATAAGGTTCTGGTATTGGATTAGGTTCTGGTGTTGGGTCAAGTTCTGTCGGTGGATAAGGTTCTGGTATTGGATTAGGTTCTGGTGTTGGGTCAGATTCTGGTTTTGG